ATCGTACACGGACGGATAAAAACTCTAGAGGATATGCCGAAAAACCGGCCGCAACAGAGTCGTCAACGAACGGCATCGATTGGAAGCACCAGCACACGCCCCACCTCGCTCGTACACCTAGAAGCCGTCCATCATGATAGACGAGGACTCTCTCAAGATCTCACCACCTCTCGCCGTTCTCCCTTTCATGTAGTGCTGTGTTGTACATGGTTCGGGAGCGATCAAAATAGAGCCTTCATATTGTTCATAGCATACTAATACCCTGCTCAGACAGTTAGCGCCCGCGATTGCTCAAGGAACTCCAATTTCTGGTCCAGCCTCAAACTATTTTTTGGGGCTGAAAACTCAGGGTACGTTGTCCAATTTCTATTGTCAAGTTTCGAATTTTGTCTTGCAGCAGAATCCTGCTGAATTTCTTAAATTGCATTTCTAAAAACTTTGAAAGCCCTCACGGGAGGCGGCGGAGAGCGCCATCAACCCCGTACAGCAGGTAGCATATCGTGGTTCACGACATGTGCCAGGCAGCGCCAGAGCCGGCAGGGTGGGGGAGGGGGCGCCGAGAAAAAACACCCCCCTCGCCGTACAACAAATTATATTCACGAACTACCGCGAGGGGGTAACACATGGGAGAGGGGGGAAAGACAGAGAGAGCTAGGAGCTGTTGTGTGGGGTATTCCTTCTTCGAAACATCCCCCCGTAAACCCTCGTTTCACATGTAGTAGGGTAGCGGTGCTACTGATTTGTGACTGAGACCTTTCTTGTACTGTGGCCCAGATTGAGTTGTGTTCCTTAACCCTATTTCCTGTTTTTCGAATTGAGCCCATGTTTCATAAAAAAGTGTTTCTTAATCGCGGGCGCTAACTGTAGATAGATATAGCTGCGACCACACACCCGAAGAGACTCTGAGCAGGCATTGGGGATATTACTACTACTCTTCTACTGTAGATGGGAGCTCGTGAAGAATGGGGGAGGGATGTTCGAACGTGTGGCAGCTGGGATGATTCGAGCGAACAAGAACCAACCGTGACGAGAAGTTCAACGTCAGAAGCATCGCGTCGATCGCCGTTGCGTAGAACTTGTCGCTAATGAGTCAGCCCTGCCGCGCTCACCTTCCGCCCTCCCTTCCCCCATCCTCGTATGAACATTAGCTAAGTGCTCAGAATCTCTTCGGGTGTGTCTGGTGGTACACAATCTATGAGGAAAACGGCACGGTTGTCGTTGCTGTCTTCACTACACAAAACTCTTCCGGTTTCCGCTCNGGACGGTACGGTTGTCGTTGCTGTCTTCACTACACAAAACTCTTCCGGTTTCCGCTCAGNAAGTGCTCAGAATCTCTTCGGGTGTGTCTGGTGGTACACAATCTATGAGGAAAACGGCACGGTTGTCGTTGCTGTCTTCACTACACAAAACTCTTCCGGTTTCCGCTCAGTACCTTTTCCAATGCCCGTAGTACTGGTCCTACCCGAAGAGGGGATACACCTTTCCTTCCTGACAAGTACAATTCATGAAAATGGAGCCCAGAAAGGTCCTCCAGGGCGTGAATTATTTTTTCCTAAACGAAAAAGAAATTTACCGGAACACAGACGATTATCCTTGGGTCAAAAACGATGAGAACGAACGGTGATTGGATACATTTCGCACCACTTAAGGCATGTCTTTTGGCTTGTTTTCGTGGTATGTTCAAATATTGGGTTGCCAACGCAATTCCATCAGCATGCTTCCATGTCGAACCCAATTGTTTGAGTTTTCGGTTGGGCAACGGACACGAAGGCTAGCTGGTGTCATTCGCCTGCTCTACATTAGGCCAGGCGGCAGTGCATGTAGTGGTTGGACGATGAGAGGGCGTCCATGTACACGTTATCTCGACTGTCTAAATATCAAGCCTTCGACGAACTTTACGCCCTCTTTCCGCATCTCATCATGATGAGAGGTGCGAATTCCTCCATGCATGAATGGGAAGATGACCATCACGCCCGGGAATCCTACTTCCGTGTTAGTTGGTTCACACAAATACGCATGAGTGTGCATAAAAGGAACTGTTTTCTGAATTGTCAGGTATGTTGCCGGTACGCGATGCCGGTGTTCTCCGAACCACATGGGCCGTGGTATTACGGGTCAGATCGCGGTGGGTGAGGGCACATGCATGCTTGCATCGTTTTACGAATTCGAAGACCATCACGCGTGCATCATTTTACGAGTGCGTACGCTACACCATCACAGTGTCAAGGGCTGTTCTAGTTGCCCATCCGAGGCAGTATGCTGCCCACCGCCATCAAGCACTCAAGTGTTGCTCTCACCAGCAGGTGGCACCTAAGATGTTTTCGTTCATGTTTGATAGACGACAACACGACGTCCACTAGTGAATGACAGGGGCCCTCACCTGGATGGAACTTCTTTCTGATGTACTCAAACACAAAACGAAATCGAACCAATGACGCTCGCGTCGCACAACAACTCGACGCGGCACACCTTGGACGCCACTGCACGCAAGCTACAAGGTGACGCATCCGTGTCAATTGCAACAAACCAACGATCACACCGTGAGGAGGCAAGCCTGTACGAACGCTTTGGCTACATACATGCACGTGCTGTACCCTCTCTTCTTACGACACACAGCCCAGAACTGAGGTTGGGGAGGCACGGGAATGACGGGTAGCGAGACACAAGAGAGGGAATGGTTGTGTAAACAAACTCACTCGTTGACCACACGGTGTAGAGAGAAGGGTGGCATCGTTGGCAGAACAGCATCCACGTTGTGCCACGAGGAACAACACTCGAGTAGGTACTGCGGAAGAAGGGCACTTCACGAGTCGAACAACCTGCGGAAGCCTTAGCTACCGCAACATACAACTGGCTGGTCAACCAACTTAGATCAGCAAGGCGGCAGAGACAAACTGGAACCAATATTTATTATCAAAGTGTGCAGATGCAGATGGTGCCTTACTGTGGTGCTGGATCATACCACCCTTCGCCTCGTTTTCGGTGTTAGAAGGGGAGGACCGGAAATTCGTTGCTGAAGTTACGTCCGACATTTCAATTGCCTCAACACATCATTTGAGAAACAAAATATGCTTACCCCAACACCCAGTCTCACCTCAGGGAATTGGGCGCTGATCTCCTGGAAGTGGTCCACGGCGGGGCCAATGTAGTCGGGGCCCATGAAGAAAGGGTGGTATTGCTAGAGTGGGCAACGGCGACAGAGACGAGAGAGAGCACGACGCGATGCGGTGGGACAAAATGCATGACTAAACACCAAGGATTCCCCTAGGTCTTGTGTCTACCGCAAGATAGTAGTATCGCTCGAGAAAACACAACAACATGCCACCCTCTCTGAAGGCATGTCTCCATCGTATGCAATCATGCACGTTTTGCCTCACCTCTGCGACAATGACACCGAGAGACGCAAGCATGGCCACACGCCCGTGCTTGATCTCGGCCTCGCGCCACTT